AGGGATGGCAAACTCTGATATTCTGCACAAGAAGTTTACTAATGCCATTTCAGTGTTTGATAAGGCAGGTCATGTTGTGGCTGTACACGACATTGGTTTGGCCGCTTTTGGAATACTGCATGCAATTCTGGTCTCCCTGCTTTAGGAAGGATGTTGTGAAACTTGAAAGGGTTCAGAAAAGATTTACAAGGATGTTGCCATGGTTGGCCGGTTTGAGCTATAGGGAGAGGCTGAATAGGCTGGAGGTATTTTCCCTGGAGTGTCGGAGGATGAGAGGTTACCTTACAAAAGGTTTATAAAATCATGAGGGGCGTGGATAGGATAAAAAGACAAGGTCTTTTCCCCAGGGTGCGCGAGTCCAAAACTAGAGGGCATAGGTTTAAGGTGAGAGGAGAAAGATTTAAAAGAGACCTAACAAGCAACGTTTTCACAGAGGGTGGTGTGTGTATGGAATGAGCTGCCAGAGGAAGTGGTGGAGGCTGGTACGATAACAACATTTAAAAGACATCTGGATGAGTATATGAATTGAAAGAGATTAGAGGGATATGGACCACATGCTGGCAAATGAGACTAGATTTATTTAGGATATCTGGTCTGCATGGACAAGTTGGATTGAAGGGTCAGCTCTATGATTCTATAACACAAGAACAACAGTGTCTAACTATGGTTTCAGTACAAAGGACATCTATGCAAACATGACTAAATATACATCTGTCGCAAGCACATGCAGGTAGATATTGGTGCTGGGGATTAAGACTTTCAGTGAAGAGATTTGGAGAAGAATATATGAATTAGGAGGGGTGGGTCATTCAGACTCTCAAGCCTGGTACACTATTCAATGATCACTTTTCTGCCGGTAGATATGTTCTATTCAAGCTCTTCAGTGATGTTATTATACACCACTGGAACAGATGGGACTTGAACTTTGGCCTCTTGGGACGCTACCACAACCTTTTTTTTTGCCTGCAACACCACAGCCCGCAGACCCCATGACCCCCTCATTAATGAAAAATCCATCTAACACAGCCTTGATTACATTCAATGACCCAGCTTTCACTGCTGTCTGAGGTAGAGAATTCCAAACACCAGTAATTGTACAAGACGAGAAATTCCATCTGAAGAATACACTCACTGCCCGGACTTCCTTGGTGCATGAGGTTGCTTGATGTACTTAGTATACATTAATTGATCCTTCCATAATTTTAAAGAAGTTTCATATCTTTTCCGCTCTGTACATATTTCCTATTTTACCCTTGGCTGAAAGAGGGACAGGACTGGCAGCTGAACTTCCCAGGATTTAGATGTTTCAGGTGTGATAGAAAGGGAGAGAAGATGGGTGGGGGAGTTGCATTACTGTTAAAGGAGTATCTCACAGCTGTACTGAGGGAGGATACATCAGAGGACTTGTGCAGCGAGGCAATATGGGTAGAACTCAGGAACAGGGAAGGTGAAATCACAGTGCTGGGGGTATACGACAGGCCTCTCAATAGCCAGCGGGAGATAAAAGAGAGAATATGTAGACAGATTTTGGAAAGATGCAAAAACAGCAGGGTTATTGTGGTGGGTGATTTTAACTTCCCCTGTATTGACTGGGACTCACTACACGCTAGGTGCTTGGATGGGGCAGAATTTGTAAGAACCATTCAGGAGGGATTCTTGACACAATACGTGAACAGTCCAATGAGGGAAGAGATTATACTAGACCTGGTTTTGGGAAATGAGCCTGGCCAGGTCAGTGAAGTTTCACTAGGCAAGCATTTTGGGAGTAGTGATCCTAATACCGTTAGCTTTAAGATACTCGTTGATAGGGATAATAGCTGTCCTTGGGTGAAGGTGTTAAACTGGGTGAAGGTGAATTACAACAATGTTAGGCAGGAACTGGAGAATTGTGATTGGAGGCGGCTGTTTGATGGTAAATTTACATCGGACATGTGGGAGTATTTCAAACAGCAGTTGATAAGAGTTCAGGAGAGGCACAGTCCTGTGAGAATGAAGGATAGGTATGGCAAATTACATAAACCTTGGTTGACCAGGAATGTTACATCCTTGGTCAGAAAGAAAATGGAAGCATACATAAGGTCCAGGAGGATGGGAACTGATGAAGTATATAAGGAAAGTTGGAAAAAACTGAAACAAGGAATTAGAAGGGCTAAAACAGGTCATGAAAAGTTGTTAGCAAACAGGATTAAGGAGAATCCCAAGGCTATATATATATATAAAAATAGCAAAAGTAAGAGGGTAGCCATGGAAAGGGTTGGCCTACTCAAGGACAAAGGAGAGAATCTATGTGTGGAGGTAGAAGAGGTCCTAAATGAATACTTTGTGTCGGTATTCACCAAACAGAAGGAATTGGCGGAAGATGATCTCTGGGAAGGGAGTGTCGAGTTTCTAAACCAGGTTGCTATTAAAAAGGAAGAGGTGTTGTGCATCTTAAAAAGTATTAAAGTAGATAAGTCCCTGGGTCCTGATGGGATCTATCCCAGAATAATGAGGGAGGCAAGAGAAGAGGTTCAAGGTTCAAGGTTCAAGGTTCAAGGTGCTGGCGCGGGGGGGGGGGGGGGCGTTAAAAGACGTGTGTGAGGCAAGTTTTTCACACAAAGGGTGGTGAGTGCCTGGAATGCATTGCTAAAGATGGTGGTGGAAGCAGAAACAATAGCAGCTTTCAAGTAGTATCTGGACGAATACATGAATAGGAAAGGAATAGAGAGATACAGACTCTGTAAGTGAAGACAGTTTTAGCAATGGAAGGGCAAATGTGGCAGTGCAGGCTTGGAGGGCCGAAGGACTTACTCCTGTGCTGTATCGTTCTTTGTTCTTTAAAGGCCCCAACTATGTGTCCAAAGAAATCGACATTTACAGATGGGATGAATGTGTGGCTTAACTACTGGCATAGTTTATTTTAAGCTTAAGACATCAAATTCCAAGATAAAGGAAAAAAGAAAATACAATTAATGCGAGCTTGCAAATGCACGCCATCTAAAATGATATGCAGTCATGTTCCAGTCCTAGTTCTAGAAGCTGGTCTGGTTTCTCCTCATGGAGTAAATCTAGAATTTGGGTGCACTGTATCAAACAAAGGGACCACTTAAAATACTGAGGTGAGGAGGAATATCTCTTCTGAGAGGGTCACTCATCTTGGTGATTTTCTACCCAATACAGCGTAGATGCTATCACAGAACACATTTGAGACCAAGATAGATTTTTGAACCACAGCGCATGTGTGGGTTTTTGGGAGGGGTAATGGCAGAAGTGACAAGACAGGAAAGTAGAGCTCAGACTAAGATCAGATCAGCCACCATCTTTATAGGGCTGAATGGACTTCTCCTACTTCATACCCACTGCTGTATTCTCATCTTGTCCCAAGAGCAGAGGCAGTAAAGATAAAAATAAAAGTAAAGACCTGCAGAGTTTTTCCAGCACGTTCTGTTTTCATTCTATCTCTAGCATTTGAAACACAGGAACAGGAGTAAGCCATTCAGCCCCTCAAGCTTGTTCCATCATTCAATGAGGTCATAATTGATCTGTAGCCTAGCTCCATGTACCCAGCTTTGGCCCAAATCACTTAATACCTTTGCTTAACAAATCTGACATCTAACATAGATAAATTTTAACAACTGATTTAGCATCAATTACTATTTGTCGAAGAGAGTTCCAAATCTCTATCACCTTTTCTAACAACTCTTATTTGACAGGCTAAGATGAGATCTAATAGAGCCGCTCAAAAGATTTCAGTGGAGCAAATGAGACGCAGCTTTGTGTGACAGAAGGATCAGTTACCAGAACGGTAAAGAGATCAGGTTTTAAAAAATATCACAATTCTTGTGAACTTGAAAATTGGGGAACATTTTCTGACGCAACAAGTGGCTGAAAGGGTGCAAATTCAACAGTAACTCTTAAAGACAAACCGATAAATCCTGGGGTTGTAAGAGAAGAGGAGGAAGTTGCAGGATTGTTGGGGGTGGGGGGGACTAAAATCAGGGAGCTTCAAGGGAGGAGGGGCCGAACGGCCGCCTTGAATACTGTATCATTCCCTGAGCACCACTTCCTGCCTCCCGGAGACCCTTGGTACTCAAGAAGCTGATACAATCAGGTCATTTAGAAGCGATGTGTCATCTATATAATTAAAGTGTGTTTTTAAAAGCCCGGGGCCGGTGTTAAAATAGAACACAAAATCCCTCATCCCTTACAGACATAACTTACCGACATCCTGGTCGAAAGGGTTGGTGGCGAAGAAAGGCATAGCTGGGATTACAATAGGAAAACTTTTTTTAAGTGAGAAATAGCCTTCCAGAGATAGGCCGCAGTCAGGCCTCGGCGTCTCTTCAGCTCGAAGCCCGTAACAGTCGCTCCTCCGCCAGCCCCTGGAACATCCTAACAGTCGAGGCCTCCGACCAAATCTACCACTTTCGGTCTCGGTTTCTTTCACAACTGAAAGCAGAATAAATATTCTTAGTTTTTTCACTCCACCCCTACTCCGGGAGGTGAAATGGCGTCGCAGGAAGATATGAAGGGAGTTGGTGATAGGGGGATGTGAAGAAATTATAAAATAAATAATAACTTCACGCTGGTCAGGTGATTCCTCTTTGCCCCCGCCCCACTTTCTTCCATTGGAGGCGGTCGTCCCGCGGTCCTCCAGTAGGGGTCAGCCAAACTAGGGGGCAGTAAATCGACATGTTCTGGTGGCGCAATTCGCTGTCTGCCCGGCCAGGGGGCAGCATCGGAGGATGATCATGAGACAGAATTCGCTATTTGCCGATTTCGTGGGAGCAGCACCGAAGGAAGCATGGTAATTCAGTGGGTAGCCAGCATCATGTACCGATGTCGGGACATTGCAGGGAAGAACCAAGGTGGAAGGAATGCAGGAGGGGAAATTCGCTGTCAGCCAATCTAGGGGGCAGCATCGAGGGAGACGTGCGGGAGGTGGGAGAGGCAGCCAGCCAATCCTTTAGGAGGGGGTGGGGTCAGCAGGTGGTAAGTACGGCGCACGCGCAGCAGTTCAGTGACGTACTGATCATCATGGCGTCTGTTGGGAGTGGAGTTGAACATCAACGTGGGGTTCATGAAGGGCCGCAGAGGAAAAGAAGGGGTCCGGGACCCCTCGCCACTGCTTACATGGTCATCTACAACGTGGTAATGACGGCCGGGTGAGACCTTACATTTTTAAAGCTGGGTTCCATACCGATCCCAATCAGCTATCCGGGTCAGGCACTGTTGGCAAATTACCAACTCTTTCCATAAGCGTCTAAAGTCCACTGCTATTCTTCAGTGTTGCGTTAATTAACATTATAATAATGCAATAAGCTCGCTTACTGAAAGCAGTTTGCAAATCGGAAGCAGCAGTCCACGGTACTCCTCCGTGTTCCCTTCTCTTGCAGGATCACTTCCTATTTATGGATGGTTCCTAAGTGAGGGACTTTACTGCAGTGGTACTGAGAGGGAAAAGATTATTATTTGAGGAAATCGTGTTTGAAATGAAACAAGGGTCGGCACGTATATCGCAATGGAAGAAGAAATTTATTTTCTTCCCTTCCACCTAAGCCAAGTGCATTAGTGAATAAGGACCCCCATGTGTAAATTGCTGCTGGAAACCATTGTGATGCAACGGTGGACTTTGTTCTGCTTTTTTGCTCCCATATTACAAAACACAACTGATCTCGTTCTGTCATTCCTCTACTCTTCAGATCTTTGGTACAGACTGAGCTTCCTGCTGAACTAAGTTGGCAAGCTTTGTGGGGAATGGTGAAAGCAAACTAGGGGTGTGGTATGTATTTTTCTAGAGATTTGGAGCAAATGTCTTTTCTCAGTTGGCAGATATCAACAAGCAAGTTGACTCCCTGTCCTTGGATTGAAATAAATGATTTTTTTTTTCCCATTCAGTTGTCTGAGAGCTCCCCTGCTCTATATGCAAGAAATGATATTTTGTTCCTCGAGGGAGATAGGGATGATAATGTTCAAGGTTATTAAAAGATGACTTGATGTTTATAGCCCTCTCAGTTGAAGCTTTTGTATGCAGTGCAGTAACTTGTAATTATGTGCTGATTACATATCATTGTGAGGAGAGGTTTTTTGGGAAGGCAACAAAGCAAAAGAGCACTCATTGAGTGGTAGGAAGTACAGAGCATCCTTGGTATGCATGTCTGTAAATTCTTGAAAGCAGTAGAATGAGTAGATAAAGTGCTCTAAGGCATATGGGATATCAAGGTGAGGCTCATTGGTCTAGGGGTATGATTCTCACTTAAGGTACTGTACAGTAGTGACATGCAAGAGGTCCTGGGTTCAACTCCCAGACAAGCTTTCTTGGGGTGGTATGGTGGCTCAGTGGTTAGCACTGCTGCCTCACAGCACCAGGAACCCAGTTCACATTCCACCCTTGGGCGACTGTGTGGAGTTTGCACATTCTCCCTGTGTTTGCGTGGGTTTCCTCCCACTGTCCAAAGATGTGCAGGTGAGGTGGATTGGCCAAGCTAAATTGTCTATAGTGCTCAAGGAATGTGTAACTTAGGTGAGTTTAGGGGAATGGGTCTGAGGGTCGGTGTAGATTTGTTGGGCCGAAGGGCCTGTTTCTGCACTATAGGAATTCTATGATCTATGTAACGTTTGTTAGGCCTTATCAGTAACAATGCTGTGCAATTCTGGTCACTGCACTATAGGTTAGAATGTGATTGTACTAGAGAGGCTGTGGAAGAAATTCACCCCAATGTGGCCTGGGCTGTACTAATCCAGCCATGAGGGTAGCATGGATAGGCTTGGTCTATTTTCTTTAGAGCAGGGAAAGCTTGTGTGTGCGGGGTGGGGTGGGGTGGAGGGGAGTGTGGTTTGCAGGGTGGCGGGGAGGGTGGTGTGTGGTGTGGGGTGTGGAACCCGATTGAGGTGTACATAGTTCTGAGGGGCAAAGATAGTGTAAATAGGAATATACTTTCCCCTTGGTTAGTAACCAGGGGGCACAGTTTTAGGGTAAGGATCAGGAGGTTTAAAGGTGACTTGAGAAATATTTTTCTCCAGAAGGTTGTAGAGGGTCAAGAACTCTCTGCCGACAGTTGGTAGAGGTGGGAACCCTCAACATTTGAGAGCTAGTTAGATAAACACTCAATGCCATAAGCACACAAGGCTAAGGGATAAGTGCTGGAAAATGGGATGGTTTAACTGGTGTGGACACAATGGGTCAAAGAACTGCCTCCTGTGCAGTAAAAACAGGCTGTTTGTCAAACAAAGTAAAAGGCTTTTGAAGGAAATGAACACTTTTTTTTTAGAAAGCATAAAGGCTTTTGTAGGGTATTGGAATCTCTCCTGATTTTGACATGTAATGACTGTAGGAAACTATAGCAGTCAATTCACATGCAGTAAGTTTCAACAAGCAGTTGCATGGATAAAATCTTCTAGATGTTGCTTGAGGATAAATGTTGATTTGGACACCAACTTTGGGAGGATGGAGGCAATGTAGGAACAAAAAGAGCCATTTTGCACTTGGGACTGTTTCACCATTAATTGAGATTACGGTTGATCGGTGACCTGAGCTCCACATACCTAAATTTACTCTATATCCCTTAGATTTTTGACAAGCAATGGTATTTTCAATCTGAATTAAAAATCCGCAATTGAATGTCACATCAGTTGCTGTTTGTGGATGAAATTACAAGCTTCTAAACAGGTATGCAAGTTAAGAGCAGGATTAAGCCATTCAGCCCCTTGAGCCTGCTCCCCTTCCCACTTAACAAGATCATGCCTGATCTGATTGTAACTTGTAGTTCACATTTCCAGCAATCCCTGATAACCTTTCAGCTCCTCGCTTATCAAAAATCTAGACCACTGTCTTAATGTTTAGGGGAGTCTTCTTTCATCTTTGACATGTTTTCCTAATCTACTAATATGCATTTTTTTTGGTAGTTGTATTTCTGTTAATGTGTTTGATTAGTTTTTTCCTGCGTCTGACTAAAGATGCTTCAAAGTGATGTGGAAGCTTCAGGGAGCTTCAGAATGAATTTTCTTTTCTTATTAAGCAGACCTGAAATTCAGACTTGATTACCCTCTGCATTTACTCCAGTCTCGCTGACCTCGTACATTGTGTCCTCATAAATCAGTGTATTTAAGGAAAGTGCCAAGAGAATACTCTTGTCCTAATATCTGTGCCTTCTACCTCAGTTGCTGTGCAGAGTGTTGGCGAAACAAAGGAGAAAGACAAATGAAAAGTACTGAATATCTCTTTCTGATCTGGAGTGGGAACCTAACAAGCACCTGCCAATCTGCCTCCCACAACAAGAGTAATTGGTCTCTTTGTTGATTTTGAAGTTCATAGTAATTGTTCTGCAGTCTTAAACATTGAGGTCTAGGGAAGCTGTGGCAGCAGAATAATAGTGGGTGTGACATGGTTGAAGTCATGTGTTACTATTAGTAATGTCCAAAAAGGCTAATGGAACAATTGTCTTTACATAAATGACCTGAATATCACTGAAAAGAAAGATGTGTTGATGAAAGGTTTAAAATATGATGTTCTTGTGTTTTGTTCTGAGTACAAGACAAAAATCCTGGACAATCTCGCTGAAAAGTGACATTCACATTCTGTATTTCAAGGAATAGGGTATGAGAGGTTAGAACAGTGCCTCAAATTTCTATCATGAGCCCATTTCATGTCTTGAAAATTGTCCCGCCACCTCACTTAAAGTTTGGGGGGGGGAAAGGCATATGAAAGCAAGCATTAGGAGAGAGAAGTCCAGTGTGAGGGGAGTTGGAACTCCAGATGTCATTTTGTGATTTCTGTTCTTCTGACCACCAGTTTGGGAAGCCCTGGGATTGAATCATGGTTATATACAGAGCCCTGATTAAACCACACTTGGATCACTGAGCAGGATATAGGTGACATTGCCTAGTCCAGCACTTCTTATTTACCATCTGATTGCACTAGTGAAAGTTGTGCTCAGCTGCCTTTTTGAACTATGACAGCCCCAGGAGTGTAGGTGCGCTGTAAGTGCTGTTCAAGAGAGTTTTAGGATTTTGACCCAGTGACAGTAAGTGTGATACAGTTTGAAGTCAGGATGGTGTGGGGCTTGGAGGTGTTCCCATGTATCTGCTGCCCTTGTCTTTCTAGGTCGCAGGTTTGGCAGGAGCTGTCTAGGCAATCTTGGGATACAAGTTAGGAAAAAGCTGCAAATCTTTTGAAGGTGTCAGGGCAAATGGATAAGCTAGGAACCAAAATGTCAGAATTGTCAGCTATGGCATGACTTCCATGCACAAACCTTTACAAATCCTTGGTTAGGTGTCTGGAGCGCTCTTTACAACTCTGGAGGCTGCACTTTTAGGAAGAATTTCCATGTCTTAGGATTCTGAGTTTTAGCAGCATGATGCCAGGGATGAAGGGGCAATTATATGGATAACTTAGAAACTGAGTTCTTCCCCTTGGAGTGGCAAAGGTTATAGTGATGGAAATGAATGGTGGTATTCAGAAAGTGAGGTTTAGATAAAGTAGGGTGGAAGATACCAGAAGTCATGGGTTTAAAATTTGCAACAAAATTAGAGGAGAGATGGTTTTATCTATTGGGTTGTTAAGATGTAGAACATGTTACTTTTTAAATTCTCTTTTATAGGAATTGGCATAGCTGGCTGGGTTAGCATATATTGTCCATCCCTGGTTGCCTTGAAAAGTTGGTCATGAGCTGCTACCTTGAACTTCTGCAGTCTACGTGCTTGAGGGGCAGATTCTGAAGAAGCTTCCTGAAAGGCATTTATAAAGTGGAATGTTAGTTGATGTGGAATAACTTGGAAGGAAAAAGCTGGAGTGTGAACCTAAATTAGACAGCTTTTTTTTTTTTTTTTGAAAACCTAGCACAGGTATAAAAATCGAAAGAACTGAGCCAGTTCTGAGGAAGGGTCAATTGATCCGAAGCGTTAACTCTGATTTATCTCCACAGATGCTGCCAGACCTGCTGAGTTTTTCAGCAATTTCTGCTTTTGTTCCTGGTACGCTGGTATACCGGGCTGGAATAGTCTGTGTTCTTAGACTTTTTTAAGATTCTGCATGATCATCCGATCATTAGGGAAAGAAATCTGTCGTCCTTACCTAACCGTGACTCCAGATCCACAGTAATGTATGGTTGACTCTTAACCACCCTCTGGAATGGCCACACAAAACACTCGGACCAAAGTCAGTTAGGGATGTTGCCAGCAGCACCTGCATCCCGTAAGTGTAAAGAAAGAGTCGTTGGTGTTGAAGCAGGCATGAAACTATTGGGACTGTTGTGAAGGGAGCTGTGGGTGGTGGGAACGTAACATTGTGCGAATGGGAACTGCTGCTCTGATGCTGTAACTGAGCAACTTGGGGTAAGTAAGAGGGATTTGGTGCCTTTAGTGGCTGAGTCCTCCGTTTTGTTGCTGAACTGAATGATGTTGCAGTACTGCGACTTACCTGAAATATTTTTTCCAGATGGTTGGTCATCGCAGTGGGTCTGATCCGAGCTGGCTTGGCAAGGGGCACATACCATGGTCTTTATTATTCCATTGAGAAGCCATTGAAGTTCTTCCAGACAGGAGCATTGCTGGAGGTGGGTAGGACATATGGTGTCCTTTAGGGAGACCAGTTCCGGCTGTGGCCCCCTTTGGCAAAACATCATAAACATTATTGTAACAATTATTTCATTCGCCATTCTATTACTGTAGAGTTTGTAGGTCAGCAGTTCTGTTGTACCACTGGTAGTCTCAGCACGGCTTATTACTCAATGGATGTAGCCCTTTATGAGCACGTCAGCCATCTTGTATGTGTATCTTGGAATCAAACTTGGATTGTGTAAAGTTTCCGCCCATATTGGGTGGTGCAAGAGCTGTCAATTGCTTACCAGTTTTAGTACTGGGGCTTTGCTGGTAGTGTCTGGCTATGTTATAGTTGATCTACGCAGACCACAGAAGGACCCAGGTAACTTCAGCTTTAGTCAAATGAGCTTAGAGAGCTTATCTTAGGCTGGCTAAACAGAACTGACTATCTGAACTGTCTGATACATACAGAAAACCATCAATGTTTACAGCCCTGTGATCACATGCATTTGTCACCTACCTTTTCATTTTGTACAATAAACAGAAGTCTTCAGTCCCAGGTCTTAACCTGTCTACAGGAATCTGTTTGTACTCTAGTCTGCTCCCAAGGCTGATTACAGGCCTTAGATTCCTCTCCAGTCACTTCCACTGGCACAAGCCCTTGGGGTTTTCAAGGTTCAGGGCTAAAATGTGCCTTACAGTAGTAGCTTATAAAATGTCATCTTACTCCTATTGTGACCTATGATTTGAAAGCCATCTTATTTAATTCCCACGACAGCTGCAGTAAGTCAGAAGAGTAGGTGCCGGAGGCCATAAAACAGATAAATCTGATCAAGTGTCCCAGGACATTGAGAAGCTGGGGATAAAATTGTGGGCCCCCTAGCAGAGATATTTGTATCATTGACTGCCAAGGGTTATGTGCCATAAGACTAGAGGGTGGTTAATATTGTGCCATCATGTAAGAAAGGCTGCAAGAAAAAGCCAGGAAACTACAGACTGGTGTGTCTAACAAATGGGGGGATAAGTTGTCAGAGGCGATTCCAAGAGACTACATGCATTTGGAAAGACGAGGGCTAATTAATGACAGTCAGTATGCTTTGTGCATGGGAAACCATGTCTCAAATTTGATTGAGATTTATGAGAAGGTGGCCAAGATAGATGGATGAGAGAACAACATAGATAGGGAAGGGGTTAGGGCTTTACAGATTGAATATAAAAGCTACTTGAAGAAGGAGCAAGACTCCAACAGCTTGTCTCTTCAAATAAACCTGTTGGACTATAACCTGGCATTATGATTTAAGGCATTGAGGCCAACTGGGGTTCAGCCATAAATGTTGGCCTTGCCAATTATGTCCACATCCCACAAGTGAGTTTTTTTAAAAAAAAAAAAAAAAAAAAACATGCAAGTACATAAGGTCAGAGTTCAGAGTACCCTTGCAGTATTGCATACAACTCCAGTCACCCTACTTTAGGGAGTATGCTATTAAATTGGAAAGGGTCTGAAACTGGAAGGTTTGAGTTCTGAGGAGATCATCGAAAGGTTGGGACTTTTTCCCTGGAAAGTAGGAGGTTGGGCTTGACCTTTAGAGGTTTATAAAATCATGACAGGAATAGATGATAAGTCAAATAGACAAGTGTTTTTCTTCCCGCAGGGTAGGGGAGTCCAAAACTAGAGGGCGTAGGTTTAAGGTGAGGGGAAAGATATAAAAGGGACCTGAGGGTCAACCTTTTCACAAAGCGGTGTGTATGTGGAATGAGCTGCCAGAGGAAGTGGTAAAGTGGGTACAGTTACAACACTTACAAGACATGGATAGCAAAGGTTTAGAGAGATATTGGCCAAACACAGGCAAATGGGACTAGTTCAGTTTAGGAAACCTGGTCAGTGTGGACAAGTTAAGCCGAAGGCCTGTTTCCGTGCTGTATGCCTCTGACTCCGAGGTGGCTTAGGGATAGTGCTTTGAGATGAGCTCTTTGTGATGGGGTTGACTGGCATGTGTGGCTGGTTAGTTTTAATCTGGAATAGCATGGCTTTGTATATGCTCCAGGGTGCATTCCATCAAAATCACATTCCTAACATCCTGTTGAACCTATCTTGAACAAATGGTCAGAAAAGGACAAACTTGTATTTCACAAGCATAAGAACCACTTCACCTTGAGTGTGCTCAGTATTCAATTCACTAGTGGCTGATCAGACCGTAGCCTCAGCTCTGCTTTCGTTTCCATTCCCATAACTTTGAGTCCCTCATGATCAGAAAGTTGCCTAACTCGGCCTTGAATGAATTTAATGAGTCCACCTTCATTTGTTTTTGGAATTTTCTCCACCAGAAAACAATGACCATCCTTGGAGAACCTTCCCCTCACTTCTGTCTTAAATCAGTCTTAAAACTCTGGTGTTGTTTAGTCTTGTCCCTTTTTTAATTCATTTATGCAGTGTGGGCCTCCCTGGCAAGGCCAGCATTTATTGACCATCCATAGTTGTCCTTGAGAAGGTGGTGGCAACTCAGCAGCATTGAAGGAATAACAATTTATTTCCAAGTCAGGATGGTGCGTGGCTTGAAGGAAAGCCTCCAAGTACTGGTTCCCATGTATTTTCTGCCCTTGTCCTTCTAGATGCAAGTGGTCATGGGTTTGGAAGGTGCTGTTCAGTCTTTGAATTTTATGGTACCTTTCATGACCTTGGAGCATAATTTGCTTCATAGCCAATGATGTGTTTTCTGTACTCTTAGTCAACAGATCAGGCAGCATCTGTGAAGGAAGAAAGAATGATTGATATTTTTAAACTCTGGCCCCTTCAGAGCTGAAAAATGTTGTTGATGTAATATGTTTTATATGAGCACAATTGCAGGGTCACAAAGGTCAGAGTGGGGAAGAGGTGGAAGATTAAAATGGCAAACATCTGTAATCTCCAGGTCACACCTACGAACTGAACAGATCAAAGGCATTATGGAGCAGCAGAAGACATTTTGGTCCACCAAGCCTATGGCAGAATAATCCAGTCAGCGGGTTCTGAATTGTCATTTTGTTAGTAATAGTTGTTGAGCAGGAAACATCACAGCCCAATTTGCACTCACTGAGGCCATAACTGTGAGGAAATTGATCATATAATTTGGTGATGAAGAATGTTAAGAATGGGAAGACCTGCGGGTTAGGTGGAATCTGAAGGGATGAACCAAGTTGAGGTTTCATGTCAACGATATATCATCAAAGCGAAATCAGTGAGGAGCAGCCTCCATAATCTGGTTGAATTCTACCTTCAGTTTAGAGGAGAGAAGTGTGGGCCCAAGATTAGTATGTTAAACTTGAATAAGGACAATTGAAAAGACATGAAGACAGAGCTTGCTAAAGTGAACTGTCTATTTAGATTAAGGGATCATCAGTGGAGATGAAATCACATGTTTAATGGGATATTTGAGAGTATACAGAATTTTTTTCTCAGAAAAATTACTATGTTAGGACCCAGAATCCTTAACTAGAAAAGTTTAAACATTGTGCTTTTAATTTGATACTAAGTCAAGTGATAGGTCAGAGGATTGTACAGAACATAGGTAACAGTAAAGAATGACTAAGTTTTTCATCAGGGATGAAAAAATAATTGTATGAAGGAAAGCTAGCCTGAAATATTTTTAAAATCATTTAAAAGTTGCTACAAATATTTTAAAAATAGTGTTAACAAAGTGAGCACTTTTCCTAAATAACAAAGGAATCTGAAGAGTTCATTATGGAAAATAGGGAACTGGCTGATAAATTGTAAAGGTCTTTTGCATTGGCCTTCACTAGGATAGAAGTAGCATGCAGAAAAAGAAACTGTAAATCAGGAAACTGAAGGGAGGGAAGAACTCCAGAAAGCAGCAAACACAAGTAATCATCCGAACTGCAGGCTGAATTGCCCCTGTCCCTTTATGTACACATGCAAATTAGAAGTAGAAGGTAGGCCATTTGGCCCCATGAGCTTGTTCTGCTATTAAGTACAATAATGGCTGCTCTGTGTTTCAAATTCCACATTGCCATCTATTTCAGAACATGTGATTTCCCTGTAGTTAGCAAAATTGTTCTGCCTCCTTTTGAGAAGATTCAATGACCCCATCATCACCACCTTCTGACGCAGAGTTCCATATCTCAATGCTCAAAGCCTCTAACACCTTATCAAATTGCACATCAAAGGTTATTATGGAAAATCAAGTGTAGTAACATTGGTATGGATAAAATATTGACTAACACAATAAGCATTAATGGGTGTTTTTATGGTTAGCAATTTGTAATGAGATGTCAGTCAGTACTGGGACCTCACTTTGCAATTTCTATAAATTGTTTGAATGAGGGAACTAAGGTATGGTTGCTAAATTTGCTGATGAAATGAAGATAGATAGCACAGTAAGTTGTGAAAAGGGCACATTGTGATATTTACAGGTTAGCACAGTTTTCTCATGTGCTCCAAGAGCAGCTGTATGGTCCTCTGAACTATGGCTTTGAAGTGGATGAATTTATAGCATTGAAGGAGACTGTGCCACAATCCTGGCCAAAAAGCAGATATTTCAGCCTGATGCCAGTTCTAGATTCTAACATTTCAAGGGCTTATCGGAGTGCTTTTTGAATGTAGAGGGTCTGTTCATTTTGTGTGGCAATCATTTCAGGTGACGCATGCTGTTAGGGAACAGAAGTTAATCCTGATTTGAGTTTGTTGTGATGAAAGGTGTGATTTAGATGTTCCTTTTTTTGCTGGGGGGTGATGCAGTTGGATCTTAAATGAGTGGCGTAAGGGTGTCAGTTTATTTTTGTGGAGGTGTTTAACATTAAACTGGATTAGTCTTTCTGGAGTCATCAATTTAAACCAGTTTGTCTCTCCTGGAATGTTAGTCAGTTTTTTAAACTGTCAGAGCTTCAGATCATAGAGAAAGGAAGCGTCAAGACGTTAGCTTACAATCCAGAATGAATAGGTTTTTTAAATTTAGTTCAGAAGCTTTTGGTTTCAATTCAAAGGAGACCTGACCAGATCAATTGCAAGCCTAGTCTCTCCTAAGAAATGAGATTGTTCAGAACGGTTAAAATAAACTACCTCCATGAAAAAGTACAGTCTGTGAAACGCAAATGTTTTTGTTCGCACTCTGCAAATTATTATAATGCCAGTGGCAATACCACTACACGCTTCGTTTTACTTGGATGCTACATTCTACCCAAGGACACCCCTACCTTTACTGGTCTACTGTTAGTTAATGCATGATAACACACAAGCTCCTGATCCCTTCTATGCTCTGCTAGGAAAAGTATAAGCGTGGGTTGGAAGAATCCTGATGCAGAAGATTGCTCTGAATTAAAATTCTTCCCCTTCCCCACTGGCACTTTTCTACAGCAGTGCTAGTGAACTCTTCAGAGCAGAGTCTGGAGGTGGGCAAATCCTGGCAAAATCATCCCTAATTGCCTTTGGGAAGGTGGTGGTGAATCGCCCACCTTGGATATAATTAGGTAGCTTGCTCAGCCATTTCACATGACCCAAGAGTCGGCCACATTGCTGCGGTTCTGCAGTTACAGAACGCAGCAAATTTTCTTCTTTAAAGGCCATTAGTGAACCAGATGCATGTTTGACAATCCGTTTAGTCATATTCATGCAACCTTTTACCCCAGATTTGTTTAATTGAATTTAAACATGCATCTGAACTGTTTCTTCCTAATGGTGCTATGGGTGTACTCCCTCCATGCAACCTGCAGTGCTATAAGAAATTGGTAATCACCATCTCCAAGACAGTTAGGAGTGGGAATTTAAAGTTAGCACAGCATACATTACTGAAAGAATTTAAAAACTATAGCTAGGGGGACAGTAGCCTAGTTATTAAGAGCCAAATATGTTGACAAACTGTTAAATTGATATCCATAGAGACCCTCTTAAAGTCCATGTGCTGAGTTACCAGTGGACACAATGGCAAAGTTTTTATTACACCAGACCGCTTTCCCACTAGGTTCAAGTCCCACATTAGAGGCTGGAACAATAAGATCTAGGCTGACACTACTGTGCTGTTGGAGGATGACATCCATCAGAAGACACTACATAGCAAAGGCCTTGTCTGCTGCCAAGGGATTGGAAAAAACAATGAGCATTTGAAGAACAGCATGGAGATCCCAGAAACCTTATCAATGTTTATTTGTCTGTGGATATGGCGCAAGACGAATGATCTTGTCACAATCATGTTGCTGTTTGTGTGAAATTGCTAAGTGCCAATTAGCTGCAGTCGTTTGTGCATTGCAACAATGATTGTACTTCAAAAGTACTTCACTTGCCAATGTTGGGAAATGTACTTGTTTAGAAACACATCTTTTTCTATCTATCCACATTTCAAGATACTATTTCTTTTGGCCAAGAACCTCCAACATAGCTTGGAAGTTCCATATTCTATCATAGTCTTTTATGTAATAATGATTTCCCAAATGGGATTTGGTGATTTGTTTGACTCTTAACTGTCCTCCGAAATGGCAAGCCATTCGGCTTAAGGGCAACTAAGAATGGGTAGCAAGTGTTGGCCTTGTCATTGGCACCCACATCCCATGAAAGAATAATTAAAGAAGTGAGCAGTTTGTTTAACAGGGTGTTTTGCAGTTTAGCAATAGAACCTGCTGTCCTGTGTATTCTATAATTCAACTACAAAATGGCTGAAAGAGTGGCAGCACACTGTTTAACTTTGTCTTGTCCTTTTTTCTTTCAGATCCTTCATTGTGCTGTAGGTATGTATGCACCTTGCTTTCCCAAAACCCAAATTTTGGTTTTTAAATTTCCATCATAGTTTAGTTTTACATATGGTGGACAGTATTGCATGTTAATCAAACCCGCATGCATCAGTTGGTGTACCTCTAGCTCAGCGAGCTATGATGTGGAAGTGCCAGTGTTAGACTGGGGTGGAAGAGGTCAGAAATCGCAACACAACACCAGGTTATAGTCCAACAGTTTTATTTGAAAACACAAGCTTTCAGAGCCTTACTCCTTCACGTGTCGGTGTATTTTTTTTAAACACCCTGGTTTAGTTAGCTAACTAGAAGAATCAGGTTTGACAAAATGTTGGATCTCATTTGTTAAGACTGTTGGAAATAGGAGAGGAAGTAGCTTGTTTGACCTGTCAACTGCTATTCAAGCAAATCATTGCCATTTACCCTGCATCATCCAGAAATCTGTCCATTTTCCATCTTGAATATCCTCATTGAGTTTCCACAGTCATCTGGGATAGATAATTCCAAATATTCACTACTGAGTAAGAAGTTTCATCTCATCCCAGTCTTCAATGTCCTGCCCCTTATTCTGAGTGTCACCTGGTTCTAGACTCAGCAGGCAGGGCAAATATCCTCTGCATCTACTATGTTACAGCTGGAATGCAAACATCTTCCTCAATCATTTTTTCCCAGTGGCTGAAGCACTCATACAGGAGTCACATTGTGGATTCTGTTCAGCAAGAAGCACGGTGGACATGATCCTAACTTGATCCACACCAACAGATCACCACAGATCCAGTGCACATGGAAACCAGACCCAGCAAGGCAGAGTATCACATCAGCACGCTTCTGTCTTCCTTGTCAGAACACACCAGTCCATGTGCATGAATCTTTCCACTAGTGGACAAATAAGAAGCTGTTCAACTGTTTCCTCCAGTTTGAAATTGAGGCCACTGAGAATTGCAGTACTAGATAATTCATGTGCGCACACCTTCATGGACTAAGGTCCAAACCATCATTAATGTATTTGTGGAGGTGTGTAAGAAAACTTGTATCTGAGACTAAAGCACTACAAGACTAATTTCTTCAATGAACTTGCTCCTAAGCAGCCCATCCCTTGGCTATCAAGTTTAACAACAAGCTACTGGGCAATATGGATGAATTCTCATACTTTGGGAGCCTCCTTTTCAACAACGGCCTACTTAAGTGATTAAGCTAAACATTGCTACCAGTGTGCCAGCACAGCCTTGATCGGTTTGCGAGAGAATATTTGATAAAGATATTAAAGTCAGCACCAAGCTTATGGTATGCAGGACAGTAGTGCTACCTGCCCTTCAATCTCATCGGAGACTTGGACAACGTTCAGCAGACATCACAGATCCCTGCAGAAATGCAACCAGTGATGCTTCTGCAAATCCAGTGGCAGGATTGGTCTGCCAATATTACCAGTATCAAGGTAATACTATTGATAAGCTAGATGAATCTTCCAAAACAGGCTCTTTCTACTCTTAAGTTCCATCATGCAAGTGCTTACCAAGACCTTTCAAGGATATCCTCAAAGCCTCCCTGAAAACATGCAATATCTCTTCAAACTCTTGCCCAACATACCCAAATGGGAGAAGAAGCATCTATGAAGTTGCCAACCATCTCGAGCATCTCCAATGGACCAAGCACATACTATGAAAGAAGCATGCAAAGTCAGTGTCCCATTCACCTAGCCCCACCTGTGGCAGAGTGAAAATCCAGAATTGGACTATTTAGTCATGTTAGGACCTGCGCCCCTTCGAGTGGAAACAAGTCATCCTCCTTCTCAAGCGACTTCCTAAGGAGAATTTTGTTAGTTTCAATGAGATCATCTCTCGCTCTCGGAAGCTCAAATATAGGCCCAATTTTGTCAACCCCTAAGACAGTCCCGCAACTTCAGGGTTAACCTCAATTGCATTCCTTCAATGGGAAATGTATCCTTCCTTAAATAAGGCAACGAAAATGCCAGGCTGTAGGCAGTCTCACCAGACTCTCTACAGACATATCAAGACCTCTAGCCCTGTAGCCCCTTGCAATGAAGGTCAACAGTCCATTTGTCTTCCTAGTTACTTGCTGACCTACAGGCTAGCTTTTTAGTATCAGTTAATTCACACTTCTTTATTTTTGATTAACACGGACATCTATGTCTCTTTGGACATCAACTGTTCCGCACCCCCGCTCTTCCCCCCCCCCCCGCCCCCAACTTTATTTTTTTTGAGATCTGCCTTTTATTCCTACCAGTGGATAACTTCACAGTTAATCACAATGTTGTGACTGTTGTTCCCAACAATATCCCAGGAAATAGAATTGTGAATTGGCATAAGGATGCAAAATATCACACCACATGATGCAGTGCATTAACTCTGTCACCTTGAGCTGGGTTTCAAACAGCCTAACAAGATAGAGGGGCCATCTCTGGAAATTTTAGCGAAACAAATTACGGGTCATCTGAACTAAGTTCCACGAGGGTGGGGACACGCGCTGCATTGCAGGTTTCCGTGCTTGCTCAGCCTGCAGGAGCAGCTAATTCAAAAACCAGGTGCACCAGAAGTTTGGAGCTGAGGTACACTGCTAATGCAGAACTTAGAAAGCTTGATGTACATCAGCAGCTGATGCAGTCTGACCTTGGAGTGGAGGATTTTGAGACTGGGTGATAAAAATGGAAAGTATTTGATTCCCTGTGTTAGTGTCCTACATCCTGACATACACTAACTTTCAAGATAGAGAAAAGCTTAGGAGGAAGATTCACGAAGAAAATCCAAGAATGGAGGCAATGATGTTGCAGTAATGATGGCCTGATAATACAGATCACCAGCTAATGTTCTCGGGTGGACTCTGATCTCACCGTGGCATATGTAACCCATTTATTGACTAAAAACCCATGTGGTTCATGAATATCCTTTTTAGGGAAGGAAATCTGCCAAACTTTTATGTCTGGTCTATGTACAACTGCAGACCCACAGTGATGTTCATTCTTAACTGCTGTCTGAAATGGCTCAGCAAGCCACTCAATTGTGTCAAATTACTATAATTAAAAAGAAATGAAACTAGATGGACAACTCAGCAATGACCTCGGTGCCAGAAACAGCAATGGCAAACCCTACCCTATTGACCCTGCAAAGCCCCCCTCAATTCTTTCTGGAGAATTATGCCAAGTTGGGAGTGCTGTACTACAGACTAATCAAACATGATATTATCTGGAAAGCAGTACTTCCTGGACTCCCTGTTAGAGTGAGCACTGTTACATCTCTCCAGCTCCAGGGTGGCCATTGCTACTTCACAGCTTGTGGACCCCACTTGCAATCCTGGCCTCAGTCTGAAATCATGTTGTGTATGATATGTCCAAGAACATTGTCACCATCCTTGGATATGTACTATCCCACTTGCAGGACAGACCTGCCAGTGGTGGCAGTACAGTGATTACGATCAGTAATCACTTATTACTTTTCTGTCTCGCTGTCTGTCTCACCAAGGATTTGGACAGATAACTGAAGGAGAAAATATTCACTCAGCAATGGGGTAGGGGGCTAACTTAATCTTAAAATTTAGTACTAAAGCTAATACCTAACACTTGATCCAATTCAAACAGAGGGTTGCAGGAATGATGTTGGAATGGTGTCCTTTTGTTTGTTACCATTGTGATTCTGACTAGTCCAAACTGGTATTTTAGTTCTAGGATAGCCTTATAGGATATTCCTACAGGATTTGAGACCTCAGACCTCCAAGGCATTGCTGGAAAGGCCAGCATTTGTACTCGTCCCTAATTGCTCTTAAACTTAATGGGTTGCTGGGCCATGTAGGCCAGACTGGGTGGATGGCAGATATCCCTCTCCAAAAGCATATTAATGAACCAGATTGTTCTAGCCACTAGTAGTTTCATGGTGGTCATTAAAGACACTAGCTTTTAATTCCAAATATCTCAATTGAATTTGAGTTCCACCAGCTGTTGATGGGATTTGAATCCCTGTCCCTAAACACTAGTTTTGATTTGTCTTTCAATTACAATTACCACTATGCCATCACCAACACTACACTATTGGCAGTTGTGCCCTTGGCTAGTGGAGGCCCCCCAATACCTGCATCCTCCCTCTAACTCCCAGCTAAATCAACTCTTTAAATTTTTGAGCATGCGCCTTAGTGCGTGGTTCAGTTTGAATTTGTGCCCCTCTGAAGCATCTTGAAATTAAAGGGATTTTGATAACGCGAGTTGGTGTTTTACAGGAATTGTTCCATCCTCTTTTGTCCTGACTGGATTCCAGGTGATGTCGCGGGTGTTTTTAACATGGGCAGTAACGCACAGTGTCAAACAGGTAAGATGGGAAATGTGGGACTGTGATAATTATTATTAATGAATATTTTGATTTTTAGAAAGCCCATAACTTTTTTCTGTTTTTTAAAAAGTACTTATCTAATTTTCTTTGAGTTTTGCTATTGATCACTACCAGCTGTTTCAGTAATAGAAAAGGTTGCTACTTTCCCCACCCTCTCTCCTTCTCTGTCCCCTCTGATACTGAGCTCCATTGCAGTATCTTTATTACTTTTGCAATTAACAAGTCCGGTTCTGAACATGGGACAGTGCATTCTCCAGGCTTGTCTCAGAACAGTGGAAACTGTGTGGAAAGAATTAACAGGAGGTACCTCTTGGTAGATTGAAGTGCCACTATGTAGCTTTTGAGGTAAAAGAACAAAATAACTGTTGCGATCTGAATGGTGAGGGGGCAGAACCAGACAATAAAAGATGCTCTGACACTTTCAACAAAAGTTAAGTGTCCTTGCCTATATCAACCCCACAACCATCATTGATAAAGTACATTTTTTGCCTGAGGTATTGATGTTTGTGCAAAAAACTTTTTACAATCCTGCAAAGAAAAGATTGTTAGCTGTAAATAAATTGCTATATTGAGGTTGCAAGTGCTACATCACTTCGACCTGTGAGCTGTACCACCTCGAAGGGCAACAAATTTCTCTCTTCCATCACTTTGCAACCCCCTGCCCCACCCATTGCAGTGATTATGATCATTTGTGTTATATTGAATGCAAGCTTTTTTTTTCTGATTGCCTGCCTCTGCAGCTGTGCATCTTGCATTAGGAGTCAGCCATGCAATGTGGGACTGGAATCACAGGTGCAGTCCTCTGAAGAGTTGGAGACCCTCATCCCCTTCTCTTTATCAGCACTGTTTTACATAGAAATATGGAAAATAGGAGCAGGTTTAAAGGCATGATGGGTCAAATGGCCTCCTTCTATACTGTAAGTGTGGAAATGTAGAAAATAGAAACAGGCTAGTTGGCCCTTCGAATCTGCTCCACCACTCAATATGATCATTGCTGGGCATCCAACTCTGTGCCCTGTTCCCACTTTATCCCCATACCCTTGATCCCTTTAGCCATAGCTAGATCTAACTCCTTATCAGACATTAAAAGTTCTGGCCTCAACTGCTTTCTGTGGCACAGTTCCACAGACTCTCCACTCTCTGGGTGAAGTCATTTTTTCCTCTTTTCAGTGCTAACTGACCTACCCATGTACTTAGACCCCAGTCCTGTACTGCCTGGTCATTGGGAATATTCTTTATGCATTTGCCTTGTCTAGTCCTGCTAGAATTTTATAAGCTCTTCCCTCTGTCTTCTAAACTCTAGTGAATATAATCCTGAGCAACATTTCGTCTAAGCTGTGTGCATGTGCAGCACTCTACTGTTCCACGCACAGCAATTTGGCACCAAAAAAACCAGAGGATTGTGTTTAATCCCTGCTGCTAATCATGCTAGACAAATAGTGAGACCTTGCTTCACAGACCACATTTTCTTTGTTTACCCTCCTTCATTGAACATATTCACAAGAGGCTGTAATAGAGATCATAAATGTTTATTACACAAAATGAGAAAAATGACCCATATTACAACTATACATGAACTATTTAGAAGTCTTATTCCTGTAGCAAATAGAAAGGTACATCCCTTTCACTACAGCTGTTCAAACCTCAGTGAGGAGTTGCCCTGTCTCCATGCTAAACCTCCTTGTTCAATGGGTATGGTTATAATGTGTTTGCATTCTTGTCTGAGTTCTGTACATTGGCTCAGTGCTGTTTTCTTTCTGTTAACGGCTCTATTTTTCTTTCTATTTCTGGAGCTTTTCTCTACTGATTTCACATTAACTCAAACTATTGCTTTCAGCCCATCCTGCAAATAACACTTCTGCTGCTGTGACCACCTTCTCCCTGAATAAACCTATGCATTGCATGATTTCTTATGAACTGTTCAGACTTGCCTAGCAAAGGGAGTCAGTAACGCCAACAGGTATTTTCTTCCTAGTCCTTTTTAATGCCCTGAACTATTCACTTCAAGGGTTTCAAGTCCTCAACACTCAGAAATGCAAATAAACTTTAAAGCTAGACATCATTCCTCCATTTTAGAATGCAAGATTTCAAGCAACACTAATATGACCTTCATGGGAGAGATGTGATTTCTTAATGCAAAGATTAATTATCTGGAATGCAACTGAAAGGATGTTGGAAGCAATTTCAATAATCTTGCAGAAGGGGTCTGGATAAATATCAGGAAGAGTTGGTGGGGAGAGCCAAGAGGAAAGAGTAAATGTTGAAATTATTAGATAAATCTTTCTCTAGTATCGTAATGATATTGAATTGTCTTGTAAAGTTAAGAACAAGTCCAGTGTCATAATTGTCACAACAGTCTAGTTTGTGCGAATGCTGTATGAAAATTTGGTAAATCTCAGTCTTGGTATGATGTGCTGCTGCTGGTAATTTTGTTTCATTCTGTTTTCTTTATCTGCCCTAAGGTACAGAGTGAGGACAGTGTGCTCTTATTTGTCACCGCATGGACACTCGCTGAGATCGTACGCTATTCCTTTTACACCTTCAGCCTCCTGAACCATCTCCCCTATGTGATCAAATGGGCCAGGTAAGAAATCTCTTGACCAGAGAAATCCTGGCTTACTAACTCATTCTTTCCATGCAGTAGCATGGAAGTGATGGTTTATATGTAGATGTAAATCGTAAGTCCACTGAGAAATGGAGAAACAACAGTTAGTGTGAAACATTTCTAGTATCTCTTTTTGACCCTATCAAACATTACACTATCTTACTTCCCTGCCTTTTTGCCCAGTGGCTGTTGGTGGAAGTGCGCTTCCATCCATGATGCAATTGGTCCTGGGTGTGATGCCGCCTTAGTCAAATAGCCTGTTGACCATTTTAAGTGTTCATACAAGATAAATGGTAGAATAAGTGCCATCAGCTTTGAAAACTAACACACAAACTTGTGTACATGGAGATCACTAGGGATTCTCCAGTTGCTTTGATGGATAAGTATTTAGCGCAGTTGTTAACTATCAAGGTTGACTTTGTTCTCAGTGATGTTGAACCAAGTGCTGATTTTTAGATGTGATGGCCACCTACAAAGCATAAGTCTGGAGTGTGATGGGATACTCCCCACTTGCCTGAATGCCTGTTATTGGGGCTGACATCATCCAGCACAGAACAACCCACTTGAATGGCACCCAATCCACCATCTTTAACATTTACTTCCTCTTCCACTGATTAGCAATGGCAACAGTGTGTACCATCAACTCACCAACACCCCTTCAGTAGTATCTTTCAAACCAGTGATCCCCACCACCTAAAGGATGAGGGCAGCTGATACATGGGAATGCCACCAGTACAAGTTCCCCTTCAAGCCCCACACCATCCTGTCTGGGGTGGGGGGAAAATATCGCCGTTCCTCCAGTATCACTGGGTTAAAATCTTGGAACCCTTGTCCCAACATCATGTCGATATCCCTACATTTCAAGGCCTCCTGTAGCTAAGAAGGGTAATTAGGGACAGGCAATAAATACTGGCCCAGCCAGCAACACCCAAATCCAGAGTACAATTTTTTTTTTTTATTTTAAGCAATCAATTCCATGTGGGAGAAATGGTCAAGGCGTTAACTTTGTGGAGTACTCACGTACCCTTTAGGCACCTTGCTGTATTCTCCTCAAATGTTGAAATGCTTAATGATAGACACCACTTCTGTTGAGATCTCTATCAGCATGAGATCATAACTTGTATTTGTGTAGCACACTTTAATATCACATCACAGCTGAACTGTATGTAAGGTTTTTGTTTGAAGTGCCCTTTTTTACTCTTTGATCCCCAAAATATATAGTACAATTTGAGGACAAGAATTCAGTAAAACAAATTTGAGGTTCAGTGGATTTGTCAATTTTACCTCCCTAAACCTACACGTTGCAACTTATTTTTGTCAAGTGAAATTATGACTATCTGGATTGACAACCAGACCGATTAAAATTCACAGGTTTGCTGGCCACTGATGGAGAAGAAATGGGTTAAAATCCTGAGAGCAGATTTTCTCGAAGGAGGGTCTCTGCCTGAGGTGTCCTCTTGGATTTTGCTTTTTCTTTAGGTACTGACATGGTGCTGTGAATTTCCAAGCATTTGCCTTTTGCTTTTCTTTATTTGTCTTTGCAGCCATTTGCAATTCGTGCGGAAAAGGTAACTGCGGGGTGGAAGTTTCCCACCATCTCTTAATGACAATATAACTCTCACCTCATTGGCAAAGAGATGCTGTAAGACAGCAGTTATTTTTGTGCATGTGTGTGCGATAGTGGAATTACTTAACTTCCTGGCCACTTGCTGTTCTGAGGAATGTCAAAGTATCTGCTACCTTTGAAAACTGGCCGTTGACAGCTTTTGTTCATCCATGTGGCAACAGTCTAACATTAACTACTGAATGAGTGTTCCTATTCTGCATGTGTTTTCACTGGGGTGGGGAAATGATGTAGGTGAGGGATCCCAGTCTTTATTTAAGTGGTTGTGCTTTAACTTGCCATAAGTCATGATGGAGCTTGTATTGTGTGAGGCCCTACCCCTCTTCACCCCCAAGACCCCATCAACTGACTGGCCACAATGCCTGTCAAAACATCCTGACAGTGCCCTGGATGTGTCACTCAATTTCTGCTCTGCACCTTCTGATCTGTTGTCCCACTAGCTCATCCTACCTCATCAACTTGCCATTCCCAAACTTGATAACAATAGAATGGGAGGTGACCCCCACCCCTCACCAGCCAAAACTTATGGACAATTCACGTGGCCTTGCATGATTTGCAGAGTGAAGATCCTGGAGCATGACATTGGCTGGGCAGACAGCTTGTTGGAGTCACAAGTAAAAGCTGTAGGGTGTTGGTTGATCTTGACCACAGCCCCTTTTGTGATTGTGTCCTGGCTGTATCGCTCAAATATCTCCCACATCTTTCCTTTAAGTAATTATCTGCTTTCAAAGTACTGCCATTCTGTCCAGTTGTACTGTATCAGTGTTAATGCTGCACAACTCTCTCTCTCTCATTGTATTGTATCCCATCAACATAGAAGTAAGAGGCTGTGTTTTTATCTGGCTGTGGCTTATCAAGATCACAAGATTCTGTGTTTGAGTACCTCCAAGGATTAAGCACAAATTAGGCTGATGCTCCTGTGCAGTATTGAGGGCTCATTGGTGTTGGAAATCATGAATACATCTGACCGTGGGATTGTAGGGCATTAATTCAAAATCAAGCAGGAAAGGTATTCATCAGTGTTCCCCCAATATTTATTCCTCCATAAATGTAATAAAAGCAGATATTGGTCATTATTATGTGCCCCCCCCCCCCCGCAATGATTTGGCTTTTGCACTTCCTCCATTATAAGCAGTGACTACACTTAAAAGTACTTGCTTGTTGTAAGACTTTGAAAGTCATTTGATATTTTTGGAGCACTATTATATAAATGCATGTCTTTTCCTGCTTCAGTGCATCTCTGCAGTTTCCCTCAAGTGCTTCTCGTATTGGCAAGGTTCACTTTTCCACCACTGTAGAATCCGCTTCTATCCAAAAACGAAACCTTTTTATTTGACTTGAGTGACTGCCATCAGATCAGTCAGGCTTCACCACCTCTAAAGCAAAGAACCTCCATCTGTTCACTGAGAATAACTTCTTGGGTCTGGAGCCCTCCTCATAAGTCTATGACTCAAGTTGGGGTCAAATGGCATTCTTTGGTTCCCTATGTGCACAGAGGAGACTTTGACCTTTTCTGATGTGGATGGGATTCTACAGTACAGTGATTTTATTGCCTGAGCTAATGTGAATGGACCTATACTTAGCATTTCGTGTTTGTGACTTGTCTAAGTGGATAGCTGTAGACAGACATGGAAAATTCAAAATGGGATCCTGGTAGTGAGATTTTTAATGAGGCAAAGATTTGACTCTTAAAAAGGCAGATGTGAAAACAATTTTCTTGATGCTGAAGAGTGGCAGCTTTTCTGCAACAGTTGGACAAAGGCTTTGTTTGGGCTGTGTAAGTGTAACTTGTGACTACTTGGCTAAGTTGCTATAAGAGCTTGGAGCAGTATGTGCGGTTTTGGTCTCCTTACCTCAGGAAAGGTATTATTGCCACAAAGGAAGCATAACGAAGGTTCCCCAGGATTGTCCATTGGAAAAAAAATTGGACAACTGAACATGTATTCTCTTGTGTTCAAAGGACTGAGGTGAACTCATTGAAATATATAAAATATTTAAAGGAATAGGCAAGGGTGGGCATAAGATGTTTTCCCTGGTTGGGGAATCTAGAACTGGGGGCATAAGGGGAAAGTCAATGAGGACTGAGATGAGAATGTGTTTTGTTTACTTAAAA